CCTCCCCAGCACCCCACTCGTCCCTTCTCACTTTTGAGGTCCTGCACTTGCTTCCGTTGCTGCTCTTCTTGCGTTTTCATCTCGGCCAGGGCAGCATTCAGATTTTCCTGGGACGGAGCCAAAGATCAAAAGCAGATTCTGGGCCGGGGATTTAGCTCAGCGGTTCGGTGGCCGGCCTTGCAAGCGCAAGGACCCGAGTTCAATCTCCGGTACCAAAAAAAAAAAAGCGGATTCCGAGCCCACCATGGCGGCGCACATTGTGTTCTCCCTGCACCCTGGAGGCTGAGGAGGAGGATCGCCAAGAGGCCGGCTTGGCCACATAGCGAGACCCTGTCTCAAAAAAAAAAGGCAAGGTTCTGGCCTTGGGGTGTCCCCAGAGGTGCTTAAGCCGAACTCTCTTCAAGTTCCCCTTCAACCCTTTCTGCGCCTCAGTTTCCAACCCCACAAGTTTGCTCCACCCAGGGCCGCTGAGAGGCCTGTGACCCTTGAGATGTGAGTTTTGAGGCCCCCCGTATGGGAATCTTCAGGTGCTCCCTACCAAACCCTGGTAGAAATTTCCAGGTCCTCCGTGTGGGTCCTTGCCAAGCCCGGGGCACAGGGCTCAGATATCTGGCCCCAGCGGTTGTTCACTGCGGGTTCCCAGCTCCCCACATTAGTGCCCTGAAGGAGTTCAGAGCTCCCTCCGAGTCCTAGTGCAGACACTGAGGCCCCGATGTGGGTGCGTCCTTGAGTCCGAAGACCTTGCCCTCACCAGGGCCTCAGAGAGAGTTTAGATGTCCCCAAGCCCTGGCACGTAAGTCAGGCCTTTGTGATGTGGGGGCCCAGGGACAGTTTCAAGGCCGCCCCATCTTCCCCCACGTCCTGTGGGGTGTTTCTGGGGAGCGTTTCTAGGACCGCTCGCTACCCGAGTACGGAGCCCTGTGCAGGAGTTTCAGCGGCGGCTTACCACGGTGCTGTCGCAGAGGGCACGGGCATCCTGCAAAGTCTTCTGCGCCCGGGTCAGCCGGTCCTGCAGGTGGTCGGTGATATTGTGGCACCTCGCCTCTGCCCGGAGGCCATCTTCGCAGGCGTCGCAGGTTTTGGTCCCAGAGTAGCCCAGGGTCACTGCCAGCACCACGATCACCGCCAGCAGGACCCCCAGGACCGCCGGCTGGAGCAGCCTGCAGTCCCTGCCGTTCTTGCCCCTCCAAACGTCATCCATGGGCAATGCAAGTAGTGGTGACAAGAAGAACCCCTAAGGCGCGGGCCGGCAGGAAGGAGCGGGACTGGACTGAGGCTCTCGCCCCGGCTGCGGCCGGACCGCGCTGCATTGAGACGGGGGCTTCTCGGCCAATCATAGGCCGCACCTCATTAGCGCAGGGGACTTCCCAGCCAATTCCACGTTCCGGAGCTGCAGCCCCCGCCCCGCCGGGCGAGGTTGGGCTTTCAGTTTCGGGTTCCTAGCAGTGGGTGAGCCCTGCCCTCCTGCTCTCCAGCTACTACAGCCGGGTGTTGGGTGCTGGCCAGACATCGCCGAGGGAGAGACTCGGGGCTGCCTAGACCCCGGCCTCCGCCCTGACCCCTCCTGGGGCTCGGTTCACTTCTACCCACGGGCAGAAGCCACCCCGCGTGGTTAGTCCAGCCCCTAGCGTGGAAGCAGGCTGCGAGTTGAGGGTGGACAGGACTCGGGCTTTATGCTCAGGGGTCTCCAGGATGACTCAGCACCGGGGGTTCGGGATCTATGGGGGGGATTGCCAGAGGGCAGCGGCCGGAAGCGGGCCCCGCCGAGGTTCCCGTTTGGGGCCGGCCAGCAAACCAGTTCCCTCTGCCTTGCCCTGGCCCCGGGGGGCTCGCGGCCCCCGCCAGAGTCCTAGCCAGTTTGGTGGCGGTGGCAGGACCACGAACCCGGTTGGGTTTGCAGGCCACCTGCTGGGGCAGCGGGATGGACGAGGTGGGGCTCCTGGGGGCAGAGGGGCTGGAGAGGGGACAGGAGCGACCCGACAGCGTCCCTCTTCCCTGGGGCGGGGGAGCCTGAGCTTCCCTGGGAAGTGGCCCTGACCCCTGCCTCTGCCGGCGGTCTCGGCTGCTGCTTTTCTGGTGGCTTCTTCAGCGCTGACCTAACCAGGGCCCAGACCCACTGTAGAGGCTGTTTCGGCGAGGGCCCCTCTGCCCTCTAGATGAGCCCCGCCGGCCCCCCGGGAGCCTCCGACAGGGAGAGCAGAGCCTGTGCAGAAAATCCGGGGGCCTGTGGCTCCCCCAGACGGGTGCTGCCCCTTGGCCGGGACCCCGGTGCAGCAGCGACTTCTCTGCCTGGCCCCATCGGGATCTTCAAGTCCGCTGTGGCATTTCCAAGTCAGCATTTGGTGTTGGTCTCCATTTCCTGGGGCGGGACTCTTCCCATTCTTGATCTTTCCAGAAATAAGAGCCTTTGTATGCTAATGTGGCCGCCTCCCTAGCTCCAGGAAGTCCCGGAAGGATCCAGCCCTGGACCTAAAGGACACTGGGGCCTCATTCTCCAGCCTCCGGGAGGGGAGAGGCTGCAGGCTGAGATGGTCTGGGTGAAGCCCATGGGAACCCCAAGGGCACAGGGTTCCCCACAGCTGAAGGCGCAGAGGGTCCTGGTCAGTGCCCTGCCAGGGGCCAAGAGAAACTTCCCCTCTGTCCTGTGTCACTGGACGAGGTCCAAGGAAGCCCCCCAAAGAATGGCACGGGGGTGAAGTAGGAGATGAAATAGGACCTCCAAGTGTTATAAGCGAGACATCACAGCACCCAGCCTGTTAGACGTCTGAAGTGCTGGGTTCGTGTCCTCCGAGATGAATTCTAGGGACAGCGGAGGTCAAGAGTAGGAAATGGCACCGAGAGGGTAGCTCCTGGGGGTCCCAGATTCAAGCCAGGAACGTCCAGTGAGGTTACAAGTACAGCCGCTTAGGTAACAGTGGTCCAATGGGGAAACAAGTCACATAACACGTGTGCGCGGAAGGAACAAAGACTTTCCCTAGGAATCGATGGGTCCAGAGGTCTCGGTTGCCCACCGGCGTGACTGATCCGTCTAGACTTCATCAGGCCTGGTGTTACCCCTAGCTTTGTCTTTTGAGGAAGGGTGCAGGCAGTCTGTGCCATTTTTGTCTCTCATTTCCAACAGATGGGTCTCCCACCACCGTTGTGATGTGTTTTCACCCTCTGCACTGACTCTGCAAAGGGCCCGGCCCTGCCTGGCCACCCGTAATAGTCCTACCTCACTTAGCTGTCCATAACAAGAGGAGATGGGCACCCGCTTGGGGCAGGCTGGGAGTTCTCTGACTGCAGTCACAGAAAGAGGATTTTCAAGACACTTCCGTGAAAGGCATAAAAAAGAGTTTCCTAGAGATGGCGCACACGAATCCACTCGCCAAAAATAGGCTTTTTGTTGTGAGAAAAGGAAAAGTTTTTTCCAGTGAGCAGGGACTCAAATCGAGAGATTGTAGCAGCTAGCTGGGAGAGATTTCATCCGTGAGAGGGTGGGCTAACAACAGGGGAGAGATAATCAGCAGCTAACAGAGGAAGGAATTACGCTGATGTAGATAGTGAAGGGGCTAAGGAATCTGGGGACGGGGTGCTCTGTGGTGTGCACGGTCACAGGACTTCTCAGCGCTGCGGGGGTTGCACACTTTGTTTTGAGTCCATTTGCTCTATCTACTGAGAAGCTGCTGCTGTTCACTGAAAGCCGTCTGTTTCCCTTGTCCTGTCTGTTTAGGCCAGGCCTGACAAGGTTATTATTATTATTTTTTTTTTCTTTGAGGTGCTGGGGATGGAACCCAAGCCTTCACACTGAACTGCCGCCCCAGCCCATTTCAATCTTCATTCTGAGATGGGGTCTTGCCCAGGCTGGGCTTGAACCTGCCATCCTCCTGCCTCAGCCTCCCAGAGTGCTCCGATGACAGGCGTGGATTCAGAGTTACAAAGCTCACACTAAGATAGGGCGCTATGGTTTGGATGGAGACTCTCCGTGGCTTTGGGCTGTCCTCAGGGTTGACACGGAAGCCCAGTCCCGCTCCACCCCGGGGCCGTGTGGGGGCCGTGTGAGGATGTGACATCTGCTCCCCCCCTCCCGCCTTGCTACTTCCTGGAGGACAAAGGTCTCCGGGAGAAAGGGCAGTGTCCAGGCGAGAGTCTGGCCCGGAGCCTGGTTTACACCTTGCTGCGTCTCAGGTGTGAGAGGTAAAAATATTTTAATTGGTGTGTATTCCATTCACTGCTGTGATAAGCCATTGTTCTCAGCATCAGCCAGGCCCGGAAGTGGACAAGGACGGGAAGACTGCAGACTCACAGCACAGCTGAGGTTCTGGGGTCAGAGATTACTGCCAAACATGCTTTCTTGAGCTACAGTCACAGGAAACCAAAGTCCCATGAAGAACTACAGCAAGGCATGCAGAGGGAGGGACGGAGGGGCACGGAGGGAGGCAGGTGCCGGCTGGGACAGACGGTGAACCCGGACCCCAGGCCACCGAGACCCGGCTAGCGTGCTGAGGGCTGGAGGCACAGGGCTCCTCAGCGGGGTGGGGGCCCCGTCTCTGCTGCCTTCAGAGTCTGATTTTGGGGGGGGTCTGATAAGCAATTCATTTCTTACATCAGACCCATAGGATTTATTTTTGGACTGAGTTTTCTAGATGAGAAAAAGACTCGAGTAACCCTTGAGTCCTGTCACCGCTGGGTCTAGATGTCCCCCAAGGCCTCTGGCAGCCGTCGGGCTTTCTCAGAGGGGGCTGGATCTCGAGTGTGGTTATAAACCAGTCCACCAGCTGGCCCGGCAGCGCCCACACGAGTCCCGATAGTCTGGACAGGATAGAAGGGGCCGGAGGGTGCTGTCAAGGTCCCTTGCCTGCCAATTGTGGACCGAAGCCTTTGCACACCAAGCTAAAGAAGCCGTTCCTCCATAACTTGTGAGCGTTGGATATTTTGTCTCAGCAACAAGAGAAAAGTAAGCAAGACACAACTTGGTAGCGTCGCTGTACCTGGCCGCGTGGTGGAGGAGCCTGTGGAGCGGGCTGGTAGGCAGGGCGAGCAGCTGGAACACCTTGGGCAGTGGTGCAGGGGGACTCTGGTCGGAGCTCAGAGGGCCGGAGAGCCAGGAAGGAAGACCAGGCTCAGGAGGTTTCTGCCGGGAAGAAGGGCAGCATGACTGCTGGGCTCCACGCGATGTGTGCGATGGCCCGGCAGAAAGCTTGCCGTAGTTTGCTGGTGTCCAGAGACTGCCTGAGGCTGGGATTAGAGGTGGGGGACTAATTAGCCCAGCACAAGACGTTTCAAGGCAGGCTCAGGAGGAAGCAGTAGTATGGCTGCTGTTGGGGGCTTTTACTCAGATCTGTTTTGAGAATCCAGAGCAAAGAGCCCAGCAGAACGATTTAAAATGTTTTGAGTTTGGCCAGAAAGGAAACTCCAGTACAGCCGGGGACTGCTCGGGAGCGGGGGATGTAGCTCAGTGGTTCCACCGCCTGCCTGAGAAGCACAAGGTTGCGAGTTTGATCCCTGGTACCAAAAAAAAAAAAAAAAAAAAAAATCTGGGGACTGCAAAGATGGAGCAGAGGAGGTCTTGACTGCTGAGAGGGAACCGAATAAAAAAGAGGGCCTGAGGGGATCACAAGGAGCAGGAGGACTCCACCTTTTGCAGCCTCGGAACTGCTTTGAGACGAGAGCCCCAGAGCACCGTGTTCCAGGATGGCACAGCCCAGAAGACTTGTACCTTGAGATTGGACTCAGAGTGCTCAGCGGTCCGGGGCTCAACCTCTACAGCCGAGAGAGGGGAGCCTGGCTCTGCTCCGGCTGGCAGTCGACCTTGGCCTCACCCGCGTGGTGCCACTTTCAGTTGCACACAGAATGCAAGCATCGTGGGGTCAGGAAGGCTGCGACCCAGATCTCAGAAGGCTGGGAGGCCTGGCTGGGTGCCCCTGAGAGGGCCTTGTGTGAAGTTGTAAGCGTGTACCTTTTTTTTTTTTCAATGTTTTCCCTGAAAACATTGGGAAGTGTTTGACTTTCTTTTCGTGTACAGGGGCTTGCTGCTAACAGTTTGCCTTAAATCTCAGAGAAGACTTTGGACTTGGATTTTACAGCAGTGCTGAAACTGTCAGGGCTTTGGCAAGGCTTAGAGGTGGACAGGATGCCTTCTGCATAAAGAAATGTGCCTGGGTCTTTCAGGGGCTACGGGCAGAATGTTACGGCTGGGGTCTAGATGCCCCCCAGTGTCTCAATAAAAGGGGCAGAAAGACACTGTTAAGGTTCCCTGGGTGCTTTTGCTACCATGTAGGTGCCGTGAACTCTTTCTCCTCTGCCAGCCTGTCCTGTGTGCCACCCCGCAAGCCGGCCGACTACGGGCTGAAACTCCTGCAAACTGTGAACTAAATTAACCCTTCCGTCCCTTAACATGTGAGCGTTGGGTATTTTGTCAGCAACGAGAGAAAAGTAACTAAGACAAGTCCTGAAGCTGGAGTGTTTTTTTTGTTGTTGTTTTTTTAATCTTAAAATACCTATTTTATTTCAGTAGCCAGTGACCATCAAGCAAGCAAAGCAAAGAAGACTAATTTCATGAAGAAAAACAAACCTGTGGTTTACAGGAAGGGAAGGATACGATGGTTCAGTTCAAGCAACTTGGAATCGTTAGCTACAAAATGTAAAATGCAAGACAAGTGTCAAAGCAGGACACCGGCAATGTTTCAATGGTACATGGTTTTCTTTAGCTTGTTATTTTTCAAACTTTTATGTAAAAGTCATACACATCATAGTGATCGCTAAAAGATATCCATCTATGAAAGTAGTGATTAGCAATACGAAATTCTTGTTTGATACTTTATTGTCTTCCAGTCCATTGCTGTCACCTGAGATACTCCGTTAAATTGTGGTTTGAGTCCCTCAACTAGACAAGGAAAGCTGCAGGAGCAGTTTTTTGTTTTGTGTGTTTGCTCCTCGACTCGAACTGGGGCCCTTGCGCTTTGCGACGCCCTTGTAGGACCAGTTTGCGCTGGAATTGTGATTCTTCAAACACCTCGCCTTCATCTTCCATTTCCCTTTCAGGATGTAACTAAGTCTGCTTTGATTTCAGGTCTTAGCATTTCCAACACACCGCATCAACTGTTACGGGCTGCGCGTCTTCAGTTGCTCCCGAAATAGCCTTGCGAATGAAACTCTCATCAGCTGACCATTCTTCTGCACGACTTACTGTCCATGAATCACGCCAGTGTCTGTAACTCTTCCGGGCCAAGTCATGATGGTCCTTTCGTATTTCAAGACTTATGACGCGTCCTTGGGATCCAGCCGCTTCGGACACACGGGAGCTCATTGCCCCGGAGCGGTCCCTGTTTTCATCAGTGATAGTCTTCCAACGCTGGCCTCTGCAGCATGATGCGCTTGCCAAGGGAACTCGTCGGGACCTGGCCGGGGGACGCGCCCATGATCTCGCTGGACGGGACTAACCCCCAAATACTATTTAAGTGTCTGATGTTGCACAATGCTACCGACCGTAGGGCAGCAAACACGGGATTTCACGAGGAGATACAGGTTCTCTGAAAGGTGGGAGCAGGTTCGGCGATGACAGTCAGACAAAAGCACTCAACACCGAGGTGAAGCTTGCAAATGCTGCTGCAATTTTATTTCTAACTCCAGGTGTTTATATACTAGTTTCAAGGGCACACCACAAGAGTGATTCCAGTCACAGACAGGCATAAGATAGACAATAGTACTGTAAAAATTAAGACCACAAGGTCAAGGTAAGACCACACCTCTATACCATCACAAAAGCTAAGACCATTAAGTCAAGGTAAGAACACACCTATATACCATCACAAAAGCTAAGACCATTGAGTCAAGGTAAGACCACACCTATACGCAGTCAGAAGGGGGGAAGTTTGTAAGACAAAGGACTGGCTTTAGCATGTCACCTTCAGGTTCACCTTCAGGACTTCACAGTCCGGGGCTCAGGGTCAGCACTTTGGCCGCCCATCCTCTTGTGCCTCAATATCTCCACATCTCTAGGAACATCTAATTGTTCCTAACCTTTCTTGGGCCCAGAATACAATTCTACAGATAATGAACAAATAGTAATAAAGACAAAATAGAACAGAATTATAGATGAACCCAATGTCCCCAAACTGCAGGCAGAGGCCAGCTATTCTCTTCACGGCTGACTTTGCATGCGGTGTGTGCCAAGGACCTCCAGGAGGCTTAACCCCGTGGGGACGATACCTCTGGTCTGGTTTCTGCCAGGTGACCGGCATTGTCACGCAGACTCTACTGGCGTGGTCGTGGCAGTACAACCCAAATAAATTTTTTTTTGGTACTGGGAATCGAACTCAGGACCTTGCGCTTGCAAGGCAGGTGGCAGAACCCCTGAGCTAAACCCCCGGCCCACCTAAATAATTTTTTAAAGCCAAATTCTAGTCCCCTGTCTTCACACCGACCTTGGGTCCTCGGGGGTCCTAGGCAGATTGAGCCTAGTCTGTTCATCTCCTGGCATCGATGGGGCATTTGTCTTTTTTATTTCTCTAAGAATTCTCTGGTATCCTGGCGGTGTGTGGCAAACACAGAGTCAAACAGCCGAAGCATTTTAGGTGGAACCTCTGTAAAGGTTGGGGTGTCCCATTTCCAATTAAGTAAGTCTGAAGAGCTAAAAGCCTGATGGATTATGACGGTGCTGCTTTCTGCTGGAGATTCTCAGAGCCGCATTTGAAAATTACTATCTGCTTGATCCGCAGGCCTGGTCCGGCGAGCCATAGGTGCGGAGCTGCCAGCAGCCCCTCCTGGACCTGGTGTTTGAGGGTGCGGTGGGGCTTCTGGCTCAGGGGCTGCTAGTGTCCCGTGGTTGTAGGGGAGGGAGAGGCATGTCGAGGATGCCCTTCCTCTCCGATGGTTCTAAGGTGGTTTCCCTTGTCCTGAGTCCCCTCCACTACAAAGCGGGTGGGTCTGGCTCTGTCTCCTAGGGCACATACCTGAAGCCATGGCGGAATATTCTCTCACACAGATCTAACCAAGAATCAATGTATGGGAATTCGTCTGTCCTTTGCTGAGCAGAAACCTTATTCCATAGCATTTTTTTTTGTTGTTGTTTTTTTTTGTTTTTTGAGACTGCCCTGGAATTTACCATGTAGCCCAGGCTGGTCTCGAACTCACAGTGATCCTCCTGCCTCAGCCTCCTGAGTGCTGGGATCACAGGTGTGTGCCACGACGCCCGGCCTTCCATAGTGTTGTGCCCAAGTCGCGAAGTCCCCAAGAAGACCACCAAGAAGATCTTCTGATGTAAGTACACGAGGAGTTTATTACAAGCTCGAGCCTGGACTCCCAGTGTCACCGACAGCGGCTTCACCGACCCACTTATTTAGCCTAATTTTGTAGGATTAGGGTGGCTTGAAATTCTCTCTATCTTACTGGCTTCTTTTCTGATATTCTACCTCTATTGGATAGTGCAGGGGTACTTGTGAAAGCGGAGGAAAACCATCTCGGGCTGGGGAGGGGGCTGGTTCAGGAGGAGTCAATGCACTCAGGAATGTGGTGAGTTCCTCTTATCTATACAGAAACTCCTGTTCTTCTTTGAGGTTGGAGTGGTTTTTCTCCCACCCATTTGTCTCTGCTCTTATTGCAACCAAACTAAGCAAATCCCTGCTGCTTGAGTTCATCCGGGGGTCACGCCTGACACCAGACGCCGTTTTAGTTTAAAATGGAGTCAGTTAGGCTAACGGGGGGTTTTGGGGACCAGATTTCTAGGATCCCACACATAGCATCTTAACTACTGGAATGTTAGTAGTTCCTTCAAGAGGACAGTCTACAAACAGTTGTGGCCACATTACCTCACAATATTTCCTCAGTCCAAGCCTTTAGTTTTGCCCCGCCGTCCCCAATAAATCCCTCATCAAAGTTAGCGATCATACATTCACGCTCAGTAGGTTTCGAGTGTTTCGAACCCATAATGTACAAATTTTTCCCTGCCCACGTGAGGTGTCTCAGGACAAACACAGGATGGGTACCGTTCTGAGGGACCGTCTTGCTCGCTCGCTCGTCTGCTTGGCTGCAGGTGTCTCGGCCCCTTTCAGGTCCGCTCGGCTACGGAGAGCTTCTCCTCGCAGCAGTGTCTGTTTCGCCCTGTTTCGCCCTGTTTAAGGGCGACCGCAGACTCAGGACTGGACCCACGCAAGCCCTGCAACGCCAGGAGAGCTCTTTAAATGCGATCGCTCCCTCCCTTTGTTTTGCTGCACGGACGAGGCCACCGATGGCTTTCGTAGCTCGCTCCACTTGGCTGGTTTCTCTTCCCCTCAGACGTTCATACAAGAGGTTAAATGGAAACTGGCACGGGAGCAGGAGAACCACCCAGAGAGACAGGGCTCGGGTAAAACAACAAAGTATATTGCCAGCAAGGTCGGCCCGGCAGCACGACATAGCTCCCGAGACCCAGCCTGGACCGAGGTTGCGTTCAGGTTATATGCATTTTAGGCGACACAGGCTTCCACAGACCACGCAAGTTTTTCCAGGTTACATTTTACCTTTTCCAAGACCTTTTAACCTTAGCAGAGCATAGACTGTCTCAAGCCAAGTCTTCAAGCTGTGTGTCAGGATTCTTATCAGGTGCATTAGGTGCCGCTGGGGGCAAGCTGTCGTGGTGAGGCTTCTCAGGGAATTTGGTTAGACTGTTAGTCACCCGTTTAACTACACCATGGGGTGGGGTAGAGCAGCAAGCAGTTTTCCTATGAGTAATGCAAGCACGACATTGTTGAATCTCGTTTTCCTCTAACGTGGGTAGTGCTGCTGTAAACATGGGTATGCCTCACGGTAAGATGCTCACTAGGGAACATACCGAAGGGAGGTGTAGCTGGGTCAAATGGGATTTCTAGTTCTAGTTTTTTGAGGGATCTCCATACTGATTTCCACAGTGACTGTACTAGTTTACACCCCAACAGCAGTGTAGAAGGATTCCACCCACCACATCTCACGAGCATTTGTTTTTGTTTTGGTTTGGTTTTTTTTGAGACAGGGTCTCACTATGTAGTTGAGTCTGACCTGGAACTCACTAGGTAGCCCTGGCTGGTCTCGAACTCACAGCGATCCTCCTGCCTCAGCCTCCCAAGTGCTGGGATGACAGGCGGGCGCCACCAGGCCCGGCTGTTTTGTTTTGTTTTTGAGGTCAGGACCATGTCCATTCTTTCTGGAGTAAAATAGAATCACAGTGTTGTTTGGATTTGTATTTCTCTAATAGCTAAAGATGTTGTGCATTTTTTCCTGTTTATTATTCATCTGTACCTCTTCCTCTGAGACCTGTTTATTCATTTTGGCTGTCATTTTTTAATTGGGTCTTTTATTTTGGGCTTCTAAGTTTTTGAGTTCTTTATGTATTCTAGGAGCAGCTGGCATAATTTTTCCCCGTTCTATAGGTTGTCTCTCGACTGTTTTGTTTCCTTTGCTGTTAGAAGCTTTTAAATTCGATACAACCCTATTTGAACATTCTTTGCATTATGTCTTGTGCAGCTGTGTTCTGTTCAGAGAGTCCTTTCCTATGCCTGTGTCTTCAAGAGCTTTACCTAATTAATCTTCCAGGAGATGCTAGGTCTTTGATCCATTTTGATTTCATTTTAGTGTAGGGTAGGAGATATGGGCCCAGATCCATTCTTCTGCATGTGGATAATGACTTTTCCCAGCAACACTTGTTAAAGAGGTTTCCTTGTCTTCAGCATCTGTTTCTGCACCTCTGTGAAAGGTCATACAGCTGAATGTGCCTGGGGATGTTTCTGCACCCTCTATTGCTGCAGTTGGCCTACAAGTCTGTTTTTGTACCGGTACCATGCTGTCTCCTCCCTGTCCCTTTTGAATGTAACTGGAAATCTGATCTTGCAGTGCCTCCTGTTTTTCTCCTGTTACCTTGCATTGCTTTTGCTGTTCTGGGTCTCTCCCGGTTACATGTGAATTTTAGGATTTTCTTTCCAGTTTTGTGAAGAGTGCTCTTTGTAATTTGATTGGGACTGCATTAAAGCCATATATCCATTTCAGTAGCATGGCCATGTTTTGCTTGTTTGGAGACAGGGTCTCACTAGGCAGTTCAGGCTGTCCTTAACTCAATATGTAGCCCAGTCTGGCCTCGAACTCACAGCGATCCTCCTGCCTCACCCTCCCGAGTGCTAGGATTATGGACATGTACCACCATGTCTGGCAGTATGGTCATTTTTGGAGGGTTACTGGGCACTGAACTCAGGCTCTTATGCTTGTGAGGCAGGTGGCAGAACCACTGAGCCAAATCCCAAGCAATTTTTCCATGTTGATATCGTGTCCTGCACCTCTGCTGAGTGCTTTGTGTCTTCAATATGAAGGGTCTTGTCCTATGTGAATGAAAAAAGACACTTCCTTTCTGCAGGATCCCTCTTAGTTTTTTTCTTTCCTGACTGGTCTGCTGCAGGCTTTGGGTACTATGAATAGGTGTGGTAAGAGCAGACACCTTTGACTTGTTCCTGATTTAGAGGGAAAGCTTTCAAGCTTTTCCCTTTCAGTGTGATGTTGGCAGCAGCAGCTCTGCTATAAACATCTTTTATCACTTTGA